TATTAAGGTGTACATGAAGGTGATGTGCGAGGGCCAGCTCCTGCATATCGAGGAACATCTTGGGTATCTTCCGCCCTGGTACTCGTATCCACATCTTCTCTCTGGGCTGCAAAAACTTTGCTGATATGTGACTCGGTCGAAGTGACTTTTTTTGGCCCCCTGTATACCAAATGAAAAGCAAATCTCGGTAGTTCATAGAGTACCTGAGCCAAGACCATATATCTGATGATATTCCGTCGCATCATACGACTCTTCTCGTCGCTTCCGCGCAGATATGTCGCAGTAATTAGAGCTGTGCTGGAAATGATTCATGAGCAGTGATCATGATGGCGAGAAAGGCAATCGGTTTTCGATACCGTATGAACACCGCCATTGATGCCTCAGACAGAGTCCCCTTCACTAAAAAAACTTCAACTTTATCTACTTCTCTACACACCCCTAATATCTTCGAATTCCCGAGAAAAATTCATGAATAAGCGGGGGGAGGGGTGCATATACCCAGAAATGGAATGGAATCTCTATTTTTCCCAAATTCCACACTGATTTGCATTGATAAAGAACCTTCCCATCAAGCCGAATACGATTCCTCTGCTCTGTCGACTCACTCTCAACCGTTAAGACTTAATCAAGGATAATGTGCAAGCAGGGTACAGCATCGTTGTGTGAAAAACGTAGGGGGTCGTACTTTTCGACTGGGAGGGGTCGTATTTGGTTGTTGTTGGGAGAGAAGGTGGTCGTATGTGCCTTTGAGAGAAATTTGCCGTATTGGGAAAAAATTTTTCCCGGTTCTTGACTTTTCGTGATTTTTCCTGTTGCTATGTACTATATACCCCCGGATGAAAAAGTGGAAAATGTGGGAAATTGGTAGGTGCTGGGAAAGGGGGGGGTCGTACCGAGACCCCATTTAGGTAGGGGGAAGTACTAACACCCTCTTTCGGAGGGGGAGGAATCGTACCTACACCACCATTTCACACATCACGATGCTGTACCCTGTGTGCACGGTTTACATGACTTGATCAGTTGACAGTAATGTGAGCTGATCGTTTTGCTTTCTTTCTACTGGTTAGAGGGGCACTGCAGATGTGTAGGGCCAATCTCATCACACAGAATAATAGTCTTTCAACCGCACACCTCCAAGCAAATTTCAATTATCTTTCCAGATTTTCTCAAAATTTTGTCGTCCAGCGGAGGGGTCGGGGTGGGGGAAGGGTAGGGTGGACACCTGCGATCAACTATTGAAATCACTAACTTGCAGAGGTGCTGACTGGGCGATTTGTACAGTGCGCCGCATGAAACGGGAAAATTCAACAATAGGAAATATGTCTCCCAAATCAAGTTCGACTTCACCCCTCAGACCCCTGTTTGGATTCCCAAACATACGATGCGCCCTCGAAAGCCTTCTTGGTGCTCGTAAGTGCGTAGCAGGCAAGCTGGAGGGTCCTGATAATATGCTTCATGTTTCTACCTGCAGCGAGGTACGCTACGACCACGCAATACGCCACCACGAACAGCAACATGTCTAGCCATGAATAAACTTATTTTTTCACCACGCCCTCTAATATATGAAGCGCCATTGTTCTCTACAGCACTTTGATTGTACTTGAGCAGCGAGGCAACATCCCGCACATTGCGGACACGTAGAAGGACAAAAACAGAGGAGCTACAGTCCTCATCATTACGGACTGTCGGGGCGGCTGAGCCGCGCTGCACTGTGCGACAGCGGCTGCGGCTCGGTGACGGCGAATCAGCTGATTTCCATGGAATTCGGCTGCGAATTCCCACTTTTTCAACTCTTCAAGCTTCGAAAGTGGAAGGTGAGTTATTTTGAGCAATTTTAAATTGTACTGACTCTGAATGAATCTGAAAGAATGCAAGCCATTTGAATAAATGCCTGAAATAAGGCAAAATACAAGGAAAAGAGCATAATAATAGACATAAAAATAAAGGAAATTAGAGCCAGTACAATTTAAATTGTTCAAAATCCTTCCACTTTCGAAGCTTGAAGAGCTGAAAAAGTGGGAATTCGCAGCCGAATTCCATCGAAATCAGCTGATTCGCCGTCACCGAGCCGCAGCCGCTGTCGCGTCACAGTGCAGCGCGGCTCAGCCGCCCCGACAGTCCGCAATGATGAGGACTGTATAGAGGAGTAACCGGCCATCACGGCCTTCCAGTTTCACTTCTACGTACTTCCGAGTGCCGGAAGTGGCCCACTACAACAGCTGCTTGTCATCTCGCTTGAATGAGCCCACCTCACAGGCAACCACACAGTGATTTTTTTAAGCAAACACCTACTAACTTCTCGATCCATCCCATGTTAGTGAAGATTTGATTCCATCTCCCAACAATAATGGTCACAAAGAAACCGAGCATAAATGTTAAAGGGATATAGTCGAGCGTCTGGTCAAACAATGCCGAAATCTCGTCCCAGAACCTGAATTGTGACTACTTTAAGAAGGATTATGAAATATGTGACGCATTCGAACTCACTTTCGTTGTTGCTCGGAAAGAAAATGATTAGTACGATAAATTGTTGTAATGACAGCAAATGCCGTCAAGAACACCGTCAGTTCCTGGAATGGGAATACTATTGGGAGAAATATAGTTGATGTCGCCACAATCAGTCGGGGCAGTGTCAGGAACAATATCTTGAGCCCGCTATTGGCTACGCTTTCTACCAATAGCCATCGGATAGAGACCGATACAGGAAGAAAACAACCAGTAGTAGAAAAAAATTGCCGGGTGAAGTCATCTCGTGGCTCTTGAAACCACCCGACTGAATGGGAAGATATTTATTAAGTGAGTATAGCGTAGCAAGAGCAAGGCACGTCCTGCCGTTAGCAAAAATATTTGTAGCATACAGCCTCTCTCCAAAAACTTCTCTGGTGCGGGTCCCTTTACTATACCCGGCTACCTGCCGTCCTCCTGAATCCTCTCAACTTCCTGCTTGTGTTCCGCAGCGTTTCCCGAAACGCTCCAATTTTTCCAAAAAGACTGCCATCGAGCGTGGCGAGGGGGGAATATACTGCGCTAGCGCACTAGAAACAGGAAAAACGGAGAGAAATCAACAAACGGGAAGCTTTTCTTGAACAATCCGGCCCCATCTGCTTTCGCAGAATGGTTCTACGATACAGTTTTAGCGTTCCTTAGCGCGATTAAAGGCAGATGGCACGATAAATTCCTAAGGACGATTTAGGACTGATGCGCTTGGCAGGGCGGAATTCACGACCTTGAGCACGCGCTGCGCACCGGTTTTTCCGATGAAGGTACCGTTATAAGGGTCCATCAAGCTATAACACACTGACCCGAACGCCCACCACGCCCGCCCGCCCACAAATGGACGACCGTACCTGATGCTCGTATCGCTTCATTTGCGAAGTACAATATGAAGCGAAGGGATTGGTATGAAGCGGCCGCGGTGCTGAATGGATATATGAGTACATACATGCAGCCGTACCTACCGTAGCGGTTATTTGCAATATGCCTACGGGAAACTCGTCCGAAATTGCCTTTCAAGAACGAAGGCTTTTTTCGCAGTTTTCGACCGTTTCACTTCGTTTTTTCGCCATTTTCCCACTAGGTAGCGCCCTGCTAGCATTTTAGACTGAGTACAAAGTTATCGTGCCAACTGCCTTTAAGAAAGGGTTACCAAATGCTCCTCCATCAATGCCTAACCAGCTATCCCTCTTTACCAAATGCATCCACTTTTTCGAGTGCTTGGAGTGCTTAGAGTGCAAACTTGCCTTCATGACAGATTTCCATATGGATCCACGCCATCGAAACTGCAATTTCAGGAATCCAAGTATGGATGTGGACGACACGTCCAGATTATAAGAAACCGTCATTTGTAGTGAAAGTTAGTGTTGAGACGAAAAAGCACCAGGATGATCTGAACATGCTGAATGGTTATACGGAAATTCTGCACGCTATCAGCACGTATATTACGAGTGAGGAAGAAGATTGCATTAAAGCACTGGATGAAATTGTTAGCAGTGTTGCCGGGTTCAAATCACGGTTTTAGGAGAAGGCAGGACAATTGGAATGAATAGTAGTTGCCCTTGTTGATCCAGGAACGTAGGACAAGTCCTTCCATCGATTCGTCCTAGCCGCGCGCGGTATGCACTGGGCTGAAACCTACCACCACTTTTTCTAGGCTTTTCTTCGAGTATTCCCTTCAGAATCTTTCACTTATGAACCCTTCACTTGAAGAAGTGGTCCAGCTGTGTATCAGCACTCAACATTATGAATTGAAGGCTTCTTAATTTTTTTTTCTTGGTATTACCTTCGAGAGAAGTTGGTGACACTTCTATGTATTAAGAGAAACGTAAAAATGAACTACGGTCTTGTTCGCTGCTAATGATGGGCGTGTGAGAGGCTAGCTTTGGCACACCGCCAGGCAGTTCTCCACCAGTTGTTGAAGCGGGTTAGCGACAACGAATTGGTGGAAAAGGTGGTACGAATGATGTGTTACAGTCTTGTCGCTTGATGAAAGAAAAAAAAATGAAGAAAAATAACTGGCGCCGCGGCCAATGCGATATGCTCCTAACCGTTTACACACGAAACATATTGTCAGGGGCTCCCATACACACGCATATACAGTCCTCATCATTGCGGACCGGTGGGGCGTGTCAGTGCGGCTGCGTTTGGCGCGGTGCCAAAGTCGTTCTGCACCAGTTGTTGAAGCGGGCAAGTGACATTACTGTATTATATCCTTCGTATTACTCGTTTTCTACCACTTTTTGTCGCATACGCGTTTCAACAAAAACAGTGTGCACACTCATACTGGTCTATATTCCTCATCATTGCGGACCGGTGGTGGCGACATGCCCCATCGGTCCGCAATGATGAGGACTATAGACCTACGGTGATAGATCTAATCATTCCACTCAAGGCTTTTGCCGAGAGGCGAGGCCTTCGCCCGTGAGGTTTCACGGAAAGTAGTCATGGACGGTGAAATACTCAAAGGATTCCAGCAGTTTAGACTAAAAAAAACTTGCTGTATAACGGAGGCTGTTTCGGCCCTCTTGGGAAAGGATGATGATTCACTGTTCAGTAGCATTGGCTGAGCGATACAGTAATGAAACATAAGTTCGCCCAAGCCGAATTGGACGAAAATGGTTTCAATGAGAAGATGATGAAATGCTTTGAAGATCAACTTTACGAGAATAGCTACTGAAGGATAAAATGCTTCGCAGCTCACTCGGACAAGTCATGTTTCTGTCAAACCGCAGGCTCGTCAATGAGGTGAGCTTGGGGCTAATGATACGGGGAGGTTCCAACAAAATAAATATTAAATAAATAATAAAAGAAAAATGGTGAGTTACTCGGAATCCCTGAGATGAGGTAGGCGTGGCTGCGTACCTCAACTAAACATCGTGCTGGCTGGCTTCTGGAGGGATATTCTCTTTTCGTCAAAGATGTGATCACGTCTCTGTCCAACAAAGAACAAGATGGCGGTTGTCTCAAATTGAAATATCCCACGAGTAACCAGTTCTGTGCCATGTTCGAATGCCACGCCTACCCCGTCTCAGGGATAAGGAGCATACTTTTATGCAAGCGCAGCCAGAGTGAAGGAAAGTAAGAAAGAGACCATATCGCCATGATGCTGAAATTGCGATTGCTGAAACATTTCATTTTCTCATACTTTCCTTTGACACGAGTGCCTCCAAAAAGCTCAGAAACGGACTTCCAACAGTTCCAACATTTCCTTTCAAGAGCAGGCGATTCAGCAGAAACCGGAAAAAAGAAAAAATCTTGTAAGCAATGCCATGCACATTCAATCGGCATAACTTCATGAGTAAGTTCGCACGACATTCAGTTGCCTATTTATGGATTTTCGTGCTTGTTGCACGGTTATAGATTGTTTGATCTAGTTGTGAAGACAGTATAGTATGGAAAATAGAAATCAGGATGTTATAAGAAAAACTATAGTCGTACGATCTAGTCTAACTACAGTCTGCCACGTCTGTAAAGCATTAATCACCATCCACTGTGATATACACTGGGGGGAAGGGTAGACAAACTAGGAAATCCTTTGGCTGTCGATTCATTTCGCTACTGATTCTTTCAGTCACTTATTCAGTATATTGTTGATAACATCTAAATCAGTTGAGAGATGAGTGTTAGAAGGGGCGAGATAGGCCCACAGCTGCCTGTCTACCAATAGTGATCGGATAGTAATCAACTCAGGAAGAAATCAACCAATGGTGGAAGGCCACGGTGGGTTCATTACATCTCCCTTGAAACCGCCCCGATTGCCTGCGACGATGTCAACTGTAAGCACCGCCATTGTCTACAACATGTTGCCAACCCATTTGAATCTGTTATATGCCATCTTCTATGACGTCGCGGGAATAAGGTCTAAGGGAGCTTCGGTCGGCTGGCGAGCTTTGTCAGCTCAAGGTTTTTTTCCATGTGGGTGCAGATTAGAAATAGGAACAGTTCACTGGCGCAAAGTCACAGTCAGCTATGAAGATGAGCGACTGCCTACCCGGTTGTCTCTGGTTCCCCATGGATTTTCTGCATGTCATCCCG